CTAATGCTAGCCATGCTGCTCCAGTCTGGTCAAATGCTTGGATGATTGGTTCATATAGTCTGTCTAGTTTCACCAGCATTCCAGTGAAGATATCATCTTTGTGGATAGGAAATGAGACCCGCCGTAGTGTTCTGCATAGCAGTTTGACACCCTCCAGCCCTGGGGGAAATTCCCATAAGAGATGGCTGTCGAAAGCAATGGAAAATTTGTCAGACTGGCCTTCATCAAACAGTGTCCAGTGGAACTTATGCTATCTGCTCAAAATGTAAACATCACTCTGCCGGGGGACCTGATGGTTTTGAAAGTTATATAGATCTAACAAGTTGATGAAAACTGCGGTATGTTTACCCTTTTGAGCAGTATACAATCCTCCAAACCAACCTCAGACAGATTTCGACTCCGGAATGTAAGCTTGGTGTTCAGGCAGAGCTAACTTCATCACAAGATTCTTCATCCGAGTCTCCCACGTCAAACCAAGGGTGCGTGCGGATGTCCTTCTCGCTTGGCGGATACCCTGTCATCCGTAACCAGCCAAATATGCTTCGCGTTGCGACCTCCGACACTGATTGAAGATTGAGTCTCCAAGATTTCCCGGACACCACCGAAGTGTTATTGGATGGGGATACAATTTGTTTCAAACAGGCTGAATTTGTCTTCAACCCACTATCCTCAAGCTCCATACCATTGTCCAAATCCCATTTCCAAGTAGTGTACCGGAGATTGTGCCCTCAACATCGTGCGTGAAGTCAAACTGCAATCTCTGTATCGCTAAGCGCGCTGCTGCCAAATGGCTTCCAAGGACACACTGGAACGCTTGAGAAGCCATCGCAGCCTGTAAGAAATAGTAAGCGGCATTCGTCATCGCGATTTATTTTAGATTGTTTGGCAGCACGTGGCCCTGAGAGTTTCGTAGTAAGAAATGATTGCTCAGTCCCAGTCCATGCAGCCGCATGAAGGTCAACCGCCCATTGACCGGATTGGATAGCATGGAGAATTGTCATTGCTGTTCCTGTAAGAATTGCGCCTAGCCATAGTGGCCCAAGTACCGGCTGTCTCCGAGTCAGAAGAATGGTAAGTCTGGTATGGTCCTCAGCATCCAGGATAGGGTCAAGAGCCTCGAAGGCCGGCTCTAACCATGAGCCAACAAGGTTGCAGTACACGTCAGGATTGAAGAAAGTGCTGTGCAGTAGAGACCGTAGCGTCCACCCATTGCAGCTTAGGGTCATGTAGTATGGTAGCAGTTCTCTTTGTTTGTAAATTTTATCGCGCGAAAAGGGCAACGGTGCTATATTTAGCTTCGATGACGATGGCCGAGTAAAAACCGCGGCAGGGGTATATGGCACAGGTAGAGGAAGAGTAATAGTTCTACCACTGTTAAAAGGTATAAAGAGAGTCGCCATTAGTGCAGCACAACATTGACCGCTAAGGTTGTGAGTGGCACAAAAGTCGGCGAGATATTTCAAGGCCTGCCTTGAGGAAGGTGGAGTGCTCCCGGGACAATGCTGGTCATAGTTTCTGCGCAAAATGAACGGACGGGTATCGATATTGCGAACGGACCATGGCGATTTGTAGGTATGGCCATTGTGAAATACAGTAGCCTGCCACCCCGCCGGCGACAGTACTGCTGCCCACCATCTTGCGGCATCATCATCCATGGAACACAAATCAATCTCAAAGCCACCGCAGTGCTGGGTATCATCAATATCAGATTCATTGGCCCGGCAATGCAAATATCTCATACGTCTGGTCTGTGCCAAAGTTGAAGGTTGTCTCTCCAGCCAAGTGCTCGACAAAATATAGGACCACGCATAAAACAAAACCGCTAGATAATTACCCTGCTCAGCGTTATCCAGAGTATTGCATACTCCAGGCCAGTGTCTGAAACATGAATAATCTGCAAAAACACATGTTGTGGAGCGCTGAACACCTAAAAGAAGCTGGTGCGGGAGGACCTTCTGTTCAAGGTCACACTCTCCCTCGGACGTCGTCCGCCATATAGATTTCCCACTAATGAAGAGAGACGATAATCCATCTAATGACGATGTATGGTGAAGGGATAAACTATCTTTTCGAGATTCGAAGTCGCGGCCAAGGTAAGCAGGAACCCTCCCCAGCATTTGTTGAGGTTGAATACACTGAAGCGGTAGCTCAGAACTTGTTGTCAGGGCATGCTGAGACCAGACAAGTTGGCTTATTGTTCGCATGCGTTCAATAGCCTCCTTACTGGGTCGAACAGCGTCTTCCATCTCCATCAGTGATAGCCACGACGAAGTTGTAAACGAATGGTAGAAATGATAAAAGGTGGCGGCTGGCGAGGTTTATCTCGTCATGGCTCGACTCTCTAGCACGTGACTCGTACAGATTGGCCTACGAGGCTACTAACCATAAGCGGAAGCTATAGGAACCACGGAACGTGAACTCGATAGATGTATGTGCCCTTGCTCGTCTCATCCGAAGGATTGTGGGATAAGCGAGATGGAAACTCTGCATCGGATCAAAAAAGATCCGAGCCGCTAAGCTGGAGACTAACTACATAGAGACTAGTGTCTCGACAAAGAGTCGCCCCGGCGAAAACATTTCCACCATTGACTGTGCCTATGATCTGGTCGACGAAACTTAGGGGATCCAAATCCGGGAGCACTGCGATCGTTGGATGAATGAAGAGAGAATTTAATAGAATAAGTGCTTGAATGTGTTTCCTGGAGAGCATCATGGGAATGCCTGTGAGAAACTAACAATGTAAATTTCTGGTTATCACTAATCGCGAGACGCCTATTGCCTATGCCCGGCACTGCTAAGGAGATGTCAGTATATCAAAGGGATAGCGAAGGATGACAGGCTTGAATCAATAGCTAGGCCAGTGAAATTAAGGAGCGATTGATTGATTCAGCAACAATTTTGATGCTGGGTATCTGCCACCCCCGGCTCGGCCCGCCGCCGATCGTGGGGGTGTGTTTGGACGCCCGGGACCAACCAGAAAAAGAATAGTCCCCAGCAAATGACTACAAATACGTGGAATGAGTTATTGCGGACTTGACGTGCAGGAGGTTGACTTACCTACAAAGCAAATCATAGTGACCTTCAACATTGAGCCCCAATTTTCCTGTGTTTTCAAACCCAATCGTTTGTCTTTCTACCAATGGAACCCAAGATTTGGTCCTTTCAAGACCTTGCAAGTCTGCCTCGAGTTGCCAGAGGAATTTCCGGCGTCATTTCCGAATATAAATCCCATGAGGTTGTCAAATGGCCGTATCCATGTGCCGATGACGAACGTAACCACGAAATCGAAAGGCGCATATGCCCGAATTGTCCACGTTATTGCGATTTTGCCGGAAAGAGGCATTGTAATGGAGCGATTGAAAGAGCCTCTCTGTCTGCGCCTAAAAACTCTTCAAGAAAATGGGGACACTGTTTCATCAGAGCAGATTCAGAGATGGTCTTTACAGATTGCAGAAGGTTTACATTACATCCACAGTAGAGTCCTCCAGCTGATATTGGGTCTCAAAATTTACTTTTGGATGAGAAGGACAATCTGAAGTTCGCAGATTTTGCAGGTTCCTCAATTGATGGAGAGCAGGCATTTGTCTGTTCAAGCTCACGCGCTTCAATTCATCCTTACTGGTAGCATCATCCTTCCATTAAGGATGAGATATTTGCCATGGGATCCATACTCTATGAGATATCTACAGGTCGGAAGCCATATCATGACAAAACAGATAGCGCTGTTGAGAAGCTTTATCTGGCAGCGCAATTTCCTGATACCGACCACCTTCAACTGGGCCCAGTGATTTGGAAGTGCTGGAAAATGCAGTATCAAGACACAGCTGAAACTCTTAGTGACCTCCAACAGCTGTTTCAAAGAAAAAAGTGCTCTTACATTGGTTTGTCGAAGAGAATCTAATGGTAAAGAGTCTTTAAAGCTATTGAATTCAAACCAGATACAGATAAATTGAATCTAAGATTGGATAACTGTCAAATGATAGTTACAGATTTATCATTCTCATAAGTACTACACTGCAATTGACTATGAAGCTCCACCATATTAATATACACCACTATTAGCTTCAACAGCAAGAGACTGTAGGTAAATTAACTATATGATGGCTTCCAACTAATGATATGCTTGGGGACGAATTTATTAAAGCTCTAGAGAGTGAAGTCTTCAAAACCTTCATGCAGAATCTGCATTTAATTAATACAGCAGATTAACTCTGTAAATCTGCAACAACTGTAAAAAGTTGACAAGATTCCGATTCCCAAATTTGATTGAATTTGCTTTTAAATCTTTATAATTTAATTTAATTTGTTTTCTTTTTACAAATCTTCAACACGGATTATGCCTCATGCTGAAGAAGATATATTGGATTATAGAGTTCAATCTTGATAATATCAACTAGTTATCAGATTGAGACATATATCTCTCTTACTTGGGCTATTAATTAGCAACTCAGCTATCTGCATTTGTATGCTTTTCCCACACAAAAATTGTTAGTCATGTGACCAGAGGGTTGCTTTTTATTTGGACAGATAGATCATTCTTAGATAGTTGAGTCAGACCAGTATAAATATATTTTTCGTCTCCATACTAGATGGGATTCACATCTAGTGTGACAGGAACTAATACGGAGTACTTTACCGGGTCAATCAAAGCGCTTCCCAATCCTGACCCACCCCGGTCCCAACGCTCCGTACCTTACAAGTAATTCCAGGAAAAGCACCCTGGTTCAGGAAAGACTTCTATTTATGAACCACTGCAACATGAGAAAACAACCTATGTATTGCGAAGCGCTCTCGTTCTCTCCTATGATATCAGAGCAATTAGACATCTGCGGATTACTGAATATTACTGCGCACTCCTCATTTACCTCTGAATTTACTACCTAGAAGAGTGCTTCAGTTCTTGTGCTGGTGGGAGGGAACATGCGCACAAATCGTTTCGGGCGAACATCTATACTTGTGTGTTTGAGATGGAGGACAGAGAGGGTGACAGATTCCAATGTTGTTATGCCAATTCATTCACATCATTTGACATTGCCTATATCGAGCTAGCTGGTTAATCCCCGACTTCACACCCTGAATTATGCTTCTGCAAGTCCGAGCATGTCAAGCGTAAGTTCCCACAGCCGTTCCTCCTTGCCCTCATCAAAGGCGTACTCCTTGAATCCCCGAAAGCCTTGCACTAGGGCCTCCGGACTGGAGGCCTCGCAATCCTCCAAGTACTTTCCACCCCGGCCTTCCCACTCCTTTGCCACTGCCGCCACCACCGTTGTTGCTGCGCCCTGCTCGTGACTCTTTAAAACCATCATGATCTCAGGATTTGATGTCCAACCATCCTTGATCTCTTGCGGCACATGCTTTTGCAAGTTCGTAAAAATCCCCCCAGGCATCAAGCTCAGCGCGTGAAGGCCAGCAGGCCCATAATGCCGGTCGACATAGTTGGCCATATAAATCTGCGCAAGCTTGCTCTGGCCATAGGCTTTGCTAGGCGCATACGCTCCCCCTCGGTGAAAATTAATATCCTCAAACTGTACTTCCGACGCGTGGTGGCCGCTGCTCGATACATTGACGAGACGCGAGTTGAAGTCAGGAGTGGAGGCCTTGAGCATGGCCTCCTTCAGGAGCCAGAAGAGCAAGAAGTGGCCCAGATAGTTGGTCGCGAGTTGGATTTCAAACCCATCCGCAGACTCCTCGTATGTGGGTATCATCATGATGCCTGCGTTGCAGATAAGCACGTTGAGGGTTTGAGATTTCTCCAAGAAGTTCGAGGCAGCGGCTTTCACGGAGGAGAGTGAGCTCGTGTCCAGCTGTAGGAGCTCGACGCGACCCGGGTCAAGGAAAGATTCGCAGGCTGTTCGTCCCCGGGTAAGATCTCTCACGGCTAGGAAAACCCGGGCGCCGGTTGCCGCGATCGCGCGGGCGGTCTCGATGCCGATTCCTGACGAACAGCCAGTGATTAGAAAAACCTGGTTAACGGTTAGTTAGTTCGTTACAGTATAAGAATACTAGGAACGTGAAACCTTGTCTTTCATGTTTCCTTCTAAACCTTCATCTTCGATTACTTGCAAGGCAGTCGGCCGGGCGTCTCCTGGACCCGCCGGTTGTTTGTGGACCTCCGCATAGCGAGACATTTTGTGGCAGAGTTCAGTGCATAGATTGTGTTGGCTTGAGGTCTTCGAGCAATCCTACTATGCTTCGAGAGAGGATCTGTATTACTCTCAAATAATTCAGTAATTTGGATGAAAGTATCTGAATAGAAGATAGCCCTTGATTCTCATGGCATGGACGCCAATGTCATTTTATCCTCTGCGTCAAATGAGGGCTATTCCCTTTAAAAAGGAAATATTTTGAGGCCTCGGCCACGCGTCTTCATTCTGCCTAATGAGAGGAATGGCTCATTTGTCAAAGCAGTCACAATAACATTCTAGGTGTTGGTGACAAACATCGGGAGTCGCAGCATGTTGAAGCGGAGTGTCAATCACTCCGAAGTAGCATCCAACCCCAACAACCAAACAAGCGATGCGCCTCCTTGGGCCGCAAAGGTTACCGGTTCTTGGCGCTGATGTCCTCGAAAAGCTCCCCCCGACCAGTCCAGATGTAAACCCAGGTCCCTGGCTAGCTCGGCAACCCCAATTCTCGGGATGCGCGTTGGTTGACAAATGCCATCAGCAGCCCCTCGGAACAAGGGACAATAAAGAGCCCGAACACGCGAGGAATTGTCAGCTAGACACGAGCCATTGAGGCTTGAATTGAACATACGGAAAGAGATCTATGAACCAGAATGGTGGACCATGTTTCGTTGGTAGACGCCAGAACTCATGAGGGGAGAGCATCCGACGTCAGCTCCAAAACAGCGAGCAAGGAAGACGACGTAGGGAAATAAAATTCGGATTGCTATTGTCACAAGTGTCTAACTACAAGTTACATCACGTCTGTTCGCTGACTCGGGTGGCTATTAGTTGCAACTACCAACCGTAACAACATCAGATTTTCCTCCGTCGTTCGGTCCGCCAACTGCAGCAACTACAAATTTGTCGCCAGCATTCTCCGCCCGCACTATTGTCTCAAATCCATTCCGCGGTTCAGTTTTGATTTCCTCGAGCTCCCCGTCATCTGAGCTTGCAAATAGCTTCCACGACTGCACGCCTGTCGCTCCATTCCAGCTCACATAGACTACCACCTCCCCATCCTCGGTAGGGCGGCATGCCTTGACACTTGGCTTGGTTTTTGGTACACCGACCCACGAGTGGCGATACGTTCGGTAAGTGGACGCGGCGTTGTCATAACCGAAGCGGGCATCCATAACAATTGCGCCGTGCTCGTCGTATTCCTCGATTACTGGGATTACCCCGTGACTGAGCAAGACATGTCCGTTGCCGAGACTCTGATAGCTTCCCTGAGCTCTAGACACAACTGGACGCTGGGCGTTCCACAACTTCCGGTTCAAAGAGACTTTCTTGTTCTGTAAATCAAGATCTAGAGCCAAACCCGTTGTTGCTTTGGTCTGATTGGTGAAGTCTGAGTTTTCGTTGTTGTGTGCCGTGAGAGTGACCTTGTCCTCTGACATATTTTCAAGGCGGACCTCATGCTGATAGCAGAAGGTGGTGTCGGGACCCATTTCGAAGTCACCGCCGTCTATGCCCTATTAAACGAAAGCCATACTAGGTTAACGATGTACGATCACTCCAACCTCTCAAAGCTGACAATAATTCATTTGCACAAAGGGTGAAACAGCGGGGGAAGAGCGCGGTGCTTACATTGAGATGCCAAATAAGGGTGCCGTTACTGGAGATAAGGAATACGCTACATGCATAACGTGACGACACGAGGTAAGAATCCCCGTATTTGGCAATAGAGTTCATATGGATGTAGTTCCAGGGATCTTTTTCAGAGGCTCCGGCACCAGAAAGTGGCTTTCGAGATAAGTTGAGTGGAATTTCGGAGACGTGTTCCCGAGCGCTCCAGCGAAATAATACCTCGTTGGTCTCAATATCGATCTCATAAACCAGTGCATCCAGAACCCAGCCGTCCTCTGGGCCACCAACGGACTGAAGATCAGCCTCAGTGACATTGACCGCCGCTAAAATCATGGATCCGTCTTCAGTGATGAACCCTTCATGGAAATCGAGATAGGATGGAAACGTTTCTGGTTCATATATCGTTTTGAAGTCATCGCCGGGAATGGTGACCTCGTGGATTTGCTGGTAGGAGCTGTTGAGGACACGCATAGAGCCATACCCATAGCCCGTGCTGTTGGTCAGGCCGTCCCAGTAGAGGAGTACCGGTTGTCCATCCAGCATCTGTGGTTCAAAGGAGAAAGTACTTCCTTCCGGACCTTGCCAGACAAGCTGGCCATCGTCTTCATAGATAGCGGGATGACCAGTGCCCATGTTCTGAGGATTGAGAAACAGGTATCCTAGCTCTGTCTTGCCGTTTTTGGTGACATTAAGGAAAGGCGTTTTGATCTCTGTGCTTTGAAACGACTGTAGCGGCCATGTCGCATTTGGGTTGGGCGGTGACTGCGCGGACGCTACACCCGTGTTTATGGCAAAGAGGGCGGCTAAACAAGAAGTCCAAAGAGGGCTGAGCGGCAGCATCTTGGACAATTCTCCAGGTCTGTCTTTCAACAGTCTGATCTTTTTTGTTTCGGCGCTTCGATCATAGCGATCAGCCAGGTTGGAAACAGGCAATATATATATATAATTCCATTACGCTGTCGCTGTTTCAACCTCATGCCTGATTAAGCCGATGTAGAGCGACAATTGTATAAGGATCTACCCGCCATGCGCGCCATTCTCTCCATCGTTGAATCCGGTACGGGTACGAGATGCCGACGTAGTACGGGGTACCCCGGCGGGGACTCTGACTGGGTCAATCCGAAGAGAGAAATGTTCTCCATACTCCACAAAAACGCGCAGCCCTGTAGCGACTAACCGCAGATGCCGATGCAGAGTCGAAGGTTCAATGCATGATGATCCCAATACGAAACATCGGCGAGCAAATTCTTCCTGCTTTCTATTTAAGGCTTTCAGACCTTTGAAGCAATGAGCCGTGCCGGGGGTGGTGTCGCCTTTTGGCCGAACAGCTCCACGTCCATATCTTGCTATCTGGAACAGGAAAGCCAGCAATTTTGACATCCCTGGTTAGATAGAGAGAAGTCACAACATTGCACCCGTGCCTGATGTTTATTTTTTGCAAAGTTGCAACACGGGCCAGGGTGCTTACAGATCATGGGTTGGCAAAGCTATCCTTGCATTCCTTGATGTTTCGAGTTTGTTAAAGTTAGGTATAAACATTAGGTAAAAAAATCCCGTCCATGAGGCTTGCACACTGACCGAACATTGCCCAGCATCTCGAGGCACTTAGCAAGTGACTTATCCCCTGGCGATCCGCACAATTGTCAAGACCACACTGGTTGCAACCCTTGCTAAATTGCAACGGCTATTTGTCTTATACATAGAACACTATTATGGCTGCTCCATGCAATTCACATTCATCATATGTACTTCAGTAGGCCTTTTTGCTTGCAAATTCAAATCAGGAATAGTGTAGACTCCCTACATGCAGGTGCCACGTTCACACATCTTGATAAAAGAGCCTCGCACCTTGACATTGCCCAGTAACTCACTAATTTATAACTACTCCATACAGCGTCGAGATATTATGTAATTCACTCATATTTCCAGAGATCGAGAGCAAAGCTTCAGGGAGCTGGGATAAGTGAGATAAGAGTTGGCCAAGGTCGGGTCGGGCTTTGCTCCCAAGACGTCCAACCAAGCCGGACACTACGTTGAAATTGGCTGTCCAAGTCTCAGCGACTGCCATAAAGCGCTGCTTCATAACCTTTATATTATTTCTAGCTGTCTAGTTTTGGCGTATGTATATGTAGCCACGATGACGAAGAGTGCCTCAGCCGAGTTGCCGGGTGGAATTGTCCATCTGACCCAGGTTATGGACAATGCTTTGTCCTGGTTTGCAAGACCTGTCAGGCTGCCAAACGGCGACTGACAATGCCACATGGGTGCTAAGACACTGGTTGCAGACTGCAGTTATTCCATCTTTGACGAGATTAAACCATCTCCACTTTTGAGTCACTGTTGGTTGTGAATGTGGATCACCCTTGCTTATCCCAAATCGCTTGAAAACCACCCAGATCAGGTCAGTGTAGAGATGCTTCACCCTCGGCTACACTTATTTCAGGAATTGTTGATGTATCTGGGGCTTGCTGGTTGCGCTTATCCTTAGGTGAGTGACCACCAGCAAGCCCCAGCACAATCTTCTTGTATTTTTTTTGCTCTCTTTTTTTTTTTTTTTTCCCTGGGTAACACAAAGCAAGGAGGAATGTAATTACAAGACAGCAGCCAGCTTGCTAACTTGAAGTTCGCGGTGGTGATGTTCATTCAATTCTCACTTCCCACGGCACAGTTTCTGTAAATTTGTGTTGACAGCAGGTTGCAAGGAAAATCTGGTTTCGGAGAGCCATCTTACACCCCCCAGGCTGCCTCCTGTTACCTTGATTTCCTAGTGATTGAATAAGAGAGGAATCCGCCCTATTCTCAAACAACAATTTGAAATCAAATGTGGTAGTAGATAGCACTCCTATGGCATATGAAAGTGATGTTTCACTTGCATAGTCTTGGGCATTTGAGATCAGTGCTGTTTCAGGAACAACCTTAAATTTTCACAGCCTGAGGGCCTTTTTCCATCTCTCAATCAAGCCATGGAAGGATGTAGATTGATGGCGACTCTCTATAATAAAATCTAGTCCACAGACAAGTAGCAGTTCCAGTATATCCAGAAATCTGATAGTATCAGGACTTCAGACTTCTGTCTTGAGCGCATTATTTCAGATTTTATTGAGTGCACAATGCCTTAGATTGTTGCAATAACAGCATTGTCAGTGAACCACAATACTTGTCTGTAATCTCCGCCTATTTTGGAGGTACTGTTAATATCTTCAACCTTATCAATGGCAAGCCAGGCTAGAGCAAAAATATCTGAACTTTTTGTTGGTGGGAAACTTAGCAGTCAAGACACCACCTCCCTGACAACAGTGCTTTTGTGAGTCCATGGATAACGAGTTGGGTATAACTAGAATTCTAGACTTTTCAACTGTTTCTCTCTATCAACCACTCCTCTTGACCTCACAAAATAACCCGCTGTCAACTCCTGGTCTACTGATTGAGATATTTATGCTAATCAGTGACAATATCAACAAACTGGAAGATGTAAATGCCTCTGCACGGTGCAGCTGTCGCACCCAAAATTTTCTGGGGCGATAGACTGTCAGGTGTCGAGGCCGAACTCTCAGTGGAGGTGCTTTCGAGAAATCTACACCACCAAGACCAACTATTATGGGTTCGTTAGCTGCGCCTTCTTGAAAATTTGTTGAGCCTGGAATGCACTCACCTGTATCCAGTGTGCTTGCATCTTTACCCGTATTTCAAGC